TATAGCACAGGGGCCTACTGCCCTGTAGTCCCCTTATCAATTAATAAAATTGCCAAAGGAGGACCTTCAGTGCAATTTCCTAAAGTTTATATTTAATAGCCCATGCTCACACATCAACCATTTATTTACCTTCTTTGGGTTGTTTTTTTTTTTTTTTTTTTTCAGCAGGGCTGGGTTCGAACCCGCCACCTCCGGCATATGGGGCTGGTGCCCTACTCCTTTGAGCCATAGGCGCCGCCCTGCCTGGCTCTTTTTTATAATCCCCCAAACACAGTCTGGACATCTCTAGACCTAAATTGGTGGGAAAGAGTCTAGCTCAGATCCTTAGCTCTTAACGTCCAGCCCTGCACCCACCCTCTAGACTTGCCTCTCTCTGGGTAGCACAGACTTTCATTTCCCCTCTAGTCGCAGTCTCTGACCCAGACTCTCCTCCCTGAGGGAAATGGACCAGTAGAAATAAAGGAAGCAGCACAGGAGTGAAGGTTTCTGAGAAGGAATCGAATCTAGAGTTATCCTGTGAGTTCCTAGGTGAAAACAGGCTTGCTGGAAGCACTTGCAGGACTGTAAGCTCCTCAAGGATAAAGCTCATGTTCGTTCTAAGGGAACGGTGCCCAGTGTTGTGCCTAGCATACAGCTGGCATGCATGCTGGCCATACTGAGTGCAGAACCTGCCCTAAGTAACCAAGTGCCTTCCTCTCCCCAGCCTCAGCTGCTCTTTCTCTAAGCCAGGGAATGTGTATATATCCTGCCTATTTCCAGGATTGAGGGAAAGGCTCACTGATGGAAACCTCTTTAAAAAGCAAAGGAGGCCAGGCACTGTGGCTCATGCCTATAATTCTAGCACTTTCAGAGACCAAGGCAGGAAGATTGCATGAGGCCAGAGGTTTAACGAGACCACACCCAGTCTCTACAAAAAAGAAAAAGAAAAATTAGCTGGATGTGGTGGCTCAAGCTTCTAGTTCCAGCTACTTAGGAGGCTAAGGCAGGAGGGCCTGTTGAGCCTAGGAGTTTAAGGCTGCAGCAAGCTAGGTTGATGCCACTGCACTCTAGCCCACAACAGAGTGAGACCATGCCTCAAAAAAAAAAAAAAAAAAAAGTAAAAATGGCATACTAAGTGAGGGAACCATTGTTTTGGTTTTGGCTATCAAAGTGTGGAACAGGAATAACATAAACCAAAGACTACGAGAGGAAGTGGCTCTGGGTCCACAGTAAACAAAGAAACCAAATTCAGGGCTCCTGGTTCCCTTCTCATAAATGGAGATAGAAGCCAGAGGCATAAACTGGAATCAGTTTATGCAAAAGGCTTTGGGCCTCCCTCCCCTTCCAGAAGCAGAAAACAAATAGCACCAGCCTAGGGTCAAGCTCTTATGGGCTGGGGACTGGCAGCTCACAGTCAGTGGCACCAGAAGGCTGGAGCTGCTACCTCCACCCTTCCCCATGGGTGAGTCATCTGGGGTGTGACCCTCTCAGCACTTTCTGGCTTCTTTGGCATGAGGCTGACAGGTGACCTGGTGCTGAGAGATGTTCCAACAACTTCCCTAGATGGGGGAAGGAAGATGTTCAAGATTTCATTCATTGGGTCTCTAAACTGGTGAGCCAAGCTGGGCAAGAGCCCTGCTCCACTTGAGTTCCTGATCAGGGCTGTGAAGGATAGAGGTGGAGGACAGATGGAAGGGGCCCTGGAACCCCACCATCCACTTGTTTTCTCGAATCCTCTTGATCACCTCCCTTTCAGTAGTCAGGGTCCCACTGGCCTGGCCTGAGCAGATGTACCCCCCACAGAGAAGCAGCTTTGACTTATCATAAAACATTCTAGAAGTCTGGGAGTAAAGGGCTGAGATGAGGGACTGGGGTGGGGATGTGGGTGCAAGGAAGGAGAAGGATGGTTTAAATAGGAAGAATTAGAGCCAGTGGATAAAAGCTGCTGCAGGCCAATGGCAATTCCACACCACAGTACCTGCAATCCCACAGTGCATAGGGACACTTAAAAGGTAATGAGTTCTTTGTCACTGGAGGTACATAAATGTGTTTGGATACTACTTAGTCTACCCATGCACTTGGCTAAGAAAAGCCCTTTTCCCTATCCCTATGTCCCAACTTTGCTCTCAACTTTTCAACCCCTGGAGATGGGAAGGAAGCTACTTCTAGTTCAATAGGGTGGGGTCCTTCCTAGCCTCACACCCCCACATCCCCCATGATTTCCCAATCCTGGCTGTCTGCTCTCCCTCCCTCTATCTCCAGAGCTTAGCCCAGCCCTCTATCCCCCTTTGAGCTGACAGCATGAGCTCATCTGGGCAACCCAAGGAGCCAGCAGGGGAAATTCTGAGTCACAGTAGAGGCTGTGGCCAGGATGTTGCCTCAGGGAGAGGTGCTGTGGGAGGGGTCAGTGCCCCACACAGCTGGAGGCATGGGCTAGAGGGATGCACCTACAGGGCGTGGAGCTGGGATGACATCGTGCAATCCTTCCTAAGTGCTCAGACCTCCCTCCGTGGCTGCCAGAGAAGGCCAGAGGACACCTAACTGACAGAGAGTGAAAAGATCCAGGTGCTGAGAAGGGGACCAAGTCTAGAACCCCAGAACAAGGGAAACTTGGACGCAGGAGGAGAGCATTTCATCAAACCCCCACGGCTGGAAGAGGAGACTGAGGTCTAAGGAGGGAAAGTGGTATTGTAGGTCACACCTCCGGTTCACACCTCTAGCCGTGGAACACTCCTGCTTCCGCCCCCTGTGCTGGTGGTTTTCAAACTGATTTGCTTAAATGCAATTGAATGCTCAAGTACAAAGCAGACATGAGGCAGAGCTGGGCTGCATTTGTGGAGATGACTGGATGCCCCTGTCCCTTCAGCAGTAGCTTCATTGAGCTCAGACAACCTGTGCACATAGCAGGCCACCCGGCTGACTGAACGGCTGACCTGACTGGACGTGCCCAGGCGTAGTTGTGGAGAGACCCTGGGGCCCTACCCTCAGGAATGGGGGAGAGGATGAAGACAGCAGAGGGCATGGCCCCCTCTGCAGCTTGAGCTTACCTGTGAGTCACCTGGGACCCCCGCAGGCTGGACATGGTCTCTTCCAGGTTCTGTCGAAGATCCAGGACATTCTGCACTGTCCTCTTTCTCTGGGACTCTGGGTCTAGAAGGAGAGAAGGAAGAGAGCTGAGTGAGTGAAGAGGATTAGAGGATCAGGAAAGTGGAGATTGACAGTGTACCCAGGAGACCAGTTCCTGGGGCATGGAAGTCACCTCTCTCCTCCCTTCCCAAAAGACGACCCCAGTGCTTGAGCCCTCTAAAGCCCAGACCCTGGCAGCGGGCCCTGGGCATGGCCTTCTGGGTCTGTGCAGGCCTCTCAGACCCCCACATAACTCCCTTTACCGCTGGCTTTCTTTTGCAGAGGCCCTCCTTCTCATAGTGGAGGTCATGGGCACACCTTCCCATGTTTGTAATCTGCTAGAACATCTGCCTGAAACCCCCTCTCCTGTGGTATGCTGGTAAATGTTTAACACCTGGCTCCTGGAGGAAGGTGACACCCTGCTGTATAACATTTGCCAATTTCTGTGGTGTAAATACTCCTGCCACAGCCACGTTCAGTCTATCAAGATGATGTCACTGACCAGAGTTACAAAAGGAGATGCTAACGATTGGCTCTGAAGAGTTGGTAAAAGCTGGTTTCAGCACACTTGAGCCCCACACCCTGACTGGTGACATCTGGGGTTGCTCTATGGCATCAGTTCCAATACAACCTCCTAAAGGTGAGGTGGCTGGTGAGGAGGTATTTCATGGAGTGCAGACTGAGTCTGGGGAGTTCCCACACAGCGATACCAGCCTGAGTGAGAAGGAGCCACAGGGGTGGCCCCCATCCTTAGACGCCTAAATGATCAGGGGCCAATTTATTCAACTTTGCTTTCCAGACAGGATGTTATCAACCAGGATAGATGATAATCTACAACAGCAAACAGAGACTTTTCCCACCAATAACTTTTCCCACATTATTTTCCAGGGCAAAAAAATAACATCCAAATAACCGAGCCATGCCTGAGCAAGAGGGGACTCAAAGAACGTTTTCTTTACTTCTTTCCTTCAATCCATCCAATACATTTTTATCAAAGACACATTTTGTGTCAGGCCCCACATTAGGTCCTAAAGACCATATAATGAAGAGGCCCCGCCCCATGGTTTATCTTTTACTTTGGGACCTAAAGTCACTGAATGGAGCCAAATCCCCTGGCGCCTCCCTGAAAGACGAGGATCTGCAGGACAGAGTCAGGACAAAATGATGGTGAAACGACTGAGGAAACCCAAGAATTCTGCCTCTCCAAGCTCCATCCCCAGGCCCTCTGCAGCTCTCTGCAACAAGCCAAACTGCCCCCCAGCCTCTTCCCGCAGACTCAGCAGGAGTCTGAGGTTCTTTTAGCTGCCAAAGAGAACATTTCTGAATCCCTTTTCAAGAGGTATTTTCTTCCCCAAGACTAAGCTCAGACTGCCTGGCAGGCAGCTTGGTGATTGTCTTGTCAGCAGGGGAGAAGCTGGGTGGCAGGGGAGAAACTGGGTGGGGCAGGCAGGAAACAGGCTGCACTGTGCTCTCCAGAGGCTGTGGGGCACCATTTCTGAAAACTAGCTCCACCCAGGCCAGCCATCTCTCCTTTTCCTCCCTAAGGGAGCTCCCCTGTATCCTCTCATGGTGGCAAAGAGCAGTGATAAATGGCAGGCATCTGTGCCAGTGGCCTGAGTTCTGTCTCCAGCCCTGGCATCACTTCTGTGGCGGCTACCCTGGCTGGTGTCACCTTGTAAGTTGTTCCGTGGCTTTAACTGATGGTTTTGACATGGAACACTTTCAGACAGGGTCAGAAAATGTAGTTGTCAAATATCTATGTGGGGATCAAGAACATGGTGCCAAAGTGTGGGTTCCTGGGCCCACACTTTGAAGGGTGATGCTTTTGATGGGTTTGGCAGAGATGAGGGACAGGTGCACACATCTCCAAGGGGTGTATATTCCTTGGAGAAGGTGATCAAGAGTAACTCAGAGACTTCTGTGTGTGCTGACCCCTTTGCATGCATCATCTACATGAATCCTTATATTTCTAGGAGATTTGTGCTATTGTCCCATTTTGCAGGTGAGAAAACTGAGAAGGGCACATGTCCAGTGTGCAGCATAGGGAAGAGTTGAGCCCAGGAAGAAACTTGCATTGCTTTTGATGTATCACAGGGCATCTTTGCACCACTAGCATCAAGCACATAACTGTGCTTAATGAGCATCTTAAGAATGGATGAAGGCTACCACAATTTTTAAGATTAAAAAAAATACATTTTAAAAGTGGATGCATCTCACATAAGGAAAATGGCTTCTGTTTTGTTTTTAAAGGAAAAATATTTAGCCATATGGTAGCCTGCCTCAGGAGGGTAAACTGCATCCCCTGATGATCAGGCCCTGGGGCATAGAGCAGGGCGGTAGGAACCTAGATCTGTGTGCCCAGAACCAATAAAGAAAGATGCTTTATGTTTCTCATTACACTCGTCACAAGTGCCCTCTTTCTCAATATCTCTTCCTTTAAAGACCTCCACCCTAGGCCCCTACCTCACTTCCATGTCAACAGAGTGTGGCAGAAATGTCAGGATTCATGGAGATGATACATGCAAAGGGGCCAGCACACACAGAAGTCTCACCATAATCTCCTAGATTGGCCCAAAATTAGACCCACAGTGTCCTTGAACGTGACTCAACCCAACCCTGTCACTGGAGAGATGGGAGGTTGAGGTCCAGGGAAGGGGTGACTAGCTGGAAATCATGGAGAGATGCTGTTGGAAGATCTGAGTCCAGGCAGGCTACCCACAGACGTAGGTTAGGGGCATGCAGAGGAGGAGGCTAGGACAGAGCTTGATTTGCTGGGAGTGGCCAGGATTTGCTCTCAGCTCCAAGGCAAAGATAGGTCCTGTAGCAGTGTCCTCTGGTGGCCATTTTTGGTATGTCATACTGCTTTTCTGAGGCTGGTAGGTGGGTGGGGGCTCCTGAGAAGGCTGGCTGTTCTCCACATCCTTGGGTGACAGACACACATATTCCTGGGGGGGTGGGGGAGCTGCAGCCCTGGGTCAAGAAGACTCACACAAATAAAAGGAAGGCCTCTGGAGCTAAAGGGGCTGCAAATGCTTGGCCTAGGCAGGGGAAGGGGGCAATTTGGCATTCATAGCCATGACCCTAAAGGAAGTTTTACTCATTTAGCTTAACAGTATGAGTAAATTGCATTTGCAAGAAAATTTACTCCACCTCTCCCACTCACCTTCATCCTACTACACTCCACTCCCAACCTATAACAAAGCTTCACCTATATCCCCTGAGGGTGAAGATGGGGATGGGCTGAAAGTATCTGAGGCACATGCTACTTTGTGATGATGAGAACAGCAACCTAGATGTTTAATGATTTCTTTCACTGGCTAAGTCAAGGTGCCTTGGAGGCTACCTCCATGTCTCTGGCCAAATGTCTGGTCTGGCCCAGGGCTGGGGCTCACACTTGTAATCCTAGTGCTCTAGGAGGCTGAGGGGAGAGGATTGACTGAGCTCAGGAGTTTTACACCAGCCTGAGCAAGAGTGAGATCCCATCTCTACTAAAAATAGAAAAACTAGCTGGGCATGTTGGCAGGTGCCTGTAGTTTCAGCTACTCAGGAGGCTTACTTGAGCCCAAGAGTTTGAGGTTGCTGTGAGCTACCAGGATGCCACAGGATACTACCCAGGGCAACAGAGTGAGATTCTGTCACCAAAGAAAAGTCTGGTCTGGGTTCCCTGGGTCACCCTAGGGAACAAAAAAGAGCCCAGATATGGCAGAGATGGAGGAGTCTGGTGGCCCATCTCCTCCTTCAGTATCCTTGAGGGTGGGACATGCTCAGAACACTCCAAAATACGTGGCACCTTTGCACAAATTAGAACAGGGTCCTCTCCAGGCTGGCCCACCTGTGGCTAGTAGAGTACACACCTTTTTCCTTCACTGGACACCAGGTAAGGATTCCCCCTAACATCACACACACATACAAACACACACATCCTTATTCTAAGGGCCTGGAAGTACTTGTTCTCTTAATGCCTACAGAACAAAGTCCAGCTGCAGGAGCGGAGGGTATGCATGACAAGCAGGGTTGGAGGGAGGGCAGGTAGGGCTCCTAACAGTCCCAGGGTGACACCAAGGTCTGTCATCCTGGGATGCCCCTTCAAGCCTTTCCCTGTAAATGGAGCAACCAGGGAGGATGTAAGTGCTCTTCAGGCTCAGAGGAGATGCAAGAGCCTACCCAACCCAGCCATCACCATGGCAACTCACAATAGCCACAAACAGCAGCATCCTCCCAGCATGCACTGGGGCATCTGCAGGATGAGGTGGTGTTTCTTTCTACCTTCTGTTGGCTCTTACACATGACCACAGAGAGCATACTGTCCATGTCAAGAGACTTTGGGCTAAAGACCGGCAATCAAATATACCTGACACACAAGCAAATGCAAATAACACCCAGCTATTTAATGTTTGCCAAAGGGCATTTTCTGTGTTATTTAATTTGAGCCAGAAGATTCACCACAGGTTTGCTTGACTTTGAAGCCTCTGTTCTTTCCACTATAACACACAAAATACATAGGCATACCTGTCGCAAAATATGTAGGCATACCTCCAGATATACACCTACTAGTGGTCTAGACTATAGTTGTAGAAATCCTTATACAGTTCTGCAATTCTACAGACATACCCACGGAAACATTTATGTGGACACAGCTCCCATGGTAGGGGAGGAAAAAGAAGACTAAACAGATGCCAGAGGAAGAGAGGTAATTTAACCTGGAAAAAGAACGGCCCAGGGTTCTTCTGTCTGCTCCAATGATGGAACATGAGAAACAGGCTTCCCCAGGACCATGAATTCCCTAACACTAAGAGACTGAGACACTGGGCAAAACTGACATTGTGGTATAGTAGAAAGGACATAGTTCTTTGTGTAAGAAAGACCTGTGTTTCAGGTTCTGGCACTGTCCTTTCCTAGCTGGTTTGACCTTGAAGAAGTCATCTCACCTTGCTGCAGAGAGAGATAATGCAGAGAGAGATAATATCCAGCTGGTATTTATTTCTTAAAGAGCTAATTCACTAACATGCTTAGAGCAGGGTGCC